GAGAGAGAGAGAGAGAGAGAGAGAGAGAGAGAGAGAGAGAGAGAGAGAGAGAGAGAGAGAGAGAGGGTACCCTCATCAGCAATGCAATTCTTGATTGTTGGTTATTATTTAGTAATGCCCGTGGTCTTTCTTTGTCATTCAGGAGCAACCCACGCTGTGGAACTTGCAAGAAATAGGAAAGGGAGGCGGCAACTCGTCAAATTTTGCCATGGCTGAGCGAGGAGTGGCTCTCGTTGTCTATAAGAGGTAGCGGCGGCGGCGGCGGCGGCGGCGGCGAAGATTGTGGCGGCTGTGTTGCGGCGGCGACGGGGACGATTGCAGCGGCTGCGGCGGGCTGCGGCGGCTGTGGCGGCGTGCAGCGGAAGCGGAACACGGGGTTCGGGGTTGGATATAGATGAAATTGCATTGATTCAGAATATACGAAGAAGAAATGGAGCGGCGGGAGGTGGGTCATCGTCGAGAGAGACGGGTGAACGAGAGGACATTGTTGTTATAGCACGTGGAAGAAAAAGACGATCCCTGTTGCCCGTGGTCGCACTTTTCGCGACCGGTCGCTGCGTCCGTGTTATCGTAGTTTTGAAGATTTCGTCGGCGGCGTTAATTGATCTTCCTGAGAGCGTTAATTAGGCAAAAAAACGAAATCAGACGTGGCTGTGTATGTGTGTGTGTGTGTGTGTGAGAGAGAGAGAGAGAGAGAGAAGGGGGGGTTGGGGGGGGAGGGAGCTAAGCTGGAGAAGGGACGTGAGCGGATCGCACGAGTTGTCGCGGCACTCGTGATCGAGGGAAGGAGTTAAAGGAGGGAGAGGAGAAGGAGAGAGACCAAACAGTAGGAGAAGATGGCGATGCGTAGCTTGCTTGGGGTGGTGGTGCGGCGCACTCCGGTTTATCGCGGTGGTGGTAGAAACACCGGCGGCTCCCAATGGGGCATGTTGAATGCCGGGCCACCATCTCCCGCTACGACGGTTCCTGTGCGTACGAGCTATTACGATCGGATCGCTTATGGCGGCGGCATGATGGATCCTGTTGGCGTCGATTTCTCCTCATCAGTCCCTTGCTGCCATTTCCACCTCTGCAACGGCAGCATGGGTCTACAACCTTCCTCCTGTCTTCCTATGGCCTCTTCCTCTGGGTATTGTTCTCCTGGTAGCAGTTTGAATCGCGGGGCGGTTTGTGGAATCTCTCGGGGAAGCGGGCTGGGAAGGGGACTGGTCCTGCCGGCGGCGCCTCAACTCGCCGCCTGTTCTCCGGACGGCCGCTACCGTCCTCATCCTCATCCCCACCATCAACTCTGGGCGAGAGAGAGGTGGTTCTCCACCTCCCTGGATGTAGGTGCGGCTTCGCACGGGAGTCTAGTTGCCGAGGAGAAGACGTACGCCCGAGATGTGCTCGAGTATAACGAGGTGCTGTTCAAACTGTCCCGATCCAAGCGGGCCTATCTGATGAGAGACGTTTACGAAGACATGTTGATGGATGGCATTCGTCCCAATCGCGACACCTTTCATCTGCTGATCCCGGCTTGCATGAAGGCGCATCGTCTCCAGGACGTGATGTACTTCTTCAGCGAGATGAAGTCCAGCGGTCTGATCCCCGACCTCGTGCTCTTCAACTGCATCATCTCCACTTGCGGGCGGTGTTTCCAGGTCCGCCGAGCCTTCGAAGTTGCCGAGGAGATGCAGGCCTTGGGCATTCAACCCAAGCTGAGGACGTTCGTGGCTCTGCTGAATGCCTGCGGCACCTCGGGGCGAGTGGAGGAGGCCTACGACGTCGTGAGGCAGATGGCTGGTCACGGCCTCACTCTCAACAAGTACTGCTACAGCGCTCTCATCACGGCGCACAAGAATCGGCGGCCAGTGACTCAGGACACGTTCGTGAAGATCTTTGAGCTTCTCGACGAGGCCAGGACGCAGAACAGGGCGAACTTGGAAGACGATCTTGCAGAGTCCGGTGTAGGAGAGGATTACGACGAGATGAGTGAGGAGATGACGTGGATGCAGGATGTGCCCGCCAAGAGAGGTTTGATTACACACAGGGCGGCGGTGTACAATGCCGCTCTGCGTGCTTTTGTCGATCTGCGTAATCATGAAGCTGCAATGAAAGTGGTGGACAGAATCAAGGAGGACGGGCTGAAGCCCGACGCGTACGTGTTCACGCATCTGATTCGCTCGTACTTGATGCAAGGGGACATGGACAAGGCTGTGGTGACGTTCGACAAGTACATGGCGACGGGAGGACACCCGTCGCTCGACATTTTCATCATTATGATCGAAGGAGCCATCCGACGATACAAGCCGGAGTCGATGGAGCTAGCAAAGAGACTGTTGAAGATGATGGAAGAGCACGGGTATTTCTTAAACCCCAAGTTTGGGGGGCAGCTGCTCTCTCTGGCGGCGAGAGAGCATGGCGGCGACTTCTCCACGGCCAACATGATATGGGATATGCTAGACAGGCAGAACCGGAAACCGCACTTCAAGGCGGCTTTTGCGTACCTGCAGGGATTGCAAAATCGCGGCACTAATGCCAACGATCAGCGGTTGCTCGCGGTGAAGTCTCTGGTGTCCCCTGATTTGATGAGGTTACAGAGACAAGTGGTGGTAAATGTAGGACGTGCTGGAAGCATGGGAGTGGAAGTGGGTGGTGGGCCGCAGCGGCCGGAGATGAGGTCCATGGCGGGAGCTTCTGCTGCTGCTGCTGCTGCTGAGTACTCGTCTTTAGCTGGGCGTAGCGAGCGTTTTGAATCCGCGGCCAATGTGAACAGTGACGACGAGTGTACCCCAGATGAAAGCGATGATGACAGGGCTAATACTACTAAGAGTTTTACCCTATTTTCTTCCGGAGGGAATTCTCCTTTCGGCGATACACCCTCCCGGTTGGCGCGTTTCTTTTGAAGGGGGGGGGGGGGGATCATTTACGTGGCCACTGGTACATCAACACTCGCCACGTGTACGTATCGATCTGTGTGCGGATCGTGTCTATCATTTCCAGCGACCCCTTCGTCTCTTCCTCATGTCTGACATTCTCCCTGCTTCCCACTGTTTTTGCAGTATTGGTATCGGCCCGACTATTACCGTCGTTGACGGAACGTTCAGGGGGGAATGGCAACATGATGATCCTGGTGAGGGATCGGTGCTCATTAACAAGAGTCAATTCGACTCCTCCGTAGTGCTGCGCTGTAAAAGCGTGTGGGTGTTTAAGAGATCGTGTGCGTGCGC